GCAAGTAAAAAAATGCAATAGCAAAATCCTTAACTATTACCACTATTAGAAATATTACTGATTCAAAATTGAGAAAATTGATGAATAGAAAATAAGTATCAATTAATCAGGAATCGAAATTGTTGGTTATTAAAAGTCTTTCCCCTTCTGAAATGTTGAAAACAAAAATGAAATAATTTCTTTACATTTTTATAATGTGAATTTTTAAATAAGTGAAATGTTATACAAATTATTTTATTATTTTACTGTATTATTTTATTCATAAATATTATAAAGATAAAATAAACAGATGAACTAAATAGAGAAATAATAAACTAATAAACTTTAGATTATAAGAACAATTAGCAATTACCAAAAGAGAAAGAAGAAAAAGAGGATTGAAAATATTCTTTTTTTATTTAATTTTTTATCTTTTTATTTTATTTTATCTTTTTACTATATTTTGGGCCCACTCGAACAAATTGATGAACAACAGAACAAATTGATGAACAACGGGAGGATGGTGACAGTGACAATGACTATATTTTATTTTTATAAAGTTGTTCATAAGAATTTGTTACATTTAATATTCCAACACCAATCCCACCACCATTAAACCTACCTACCACCATTTTGAATGTTTCCACCCGGACCCCCAAACCCTGGCCCCAAAGCAGGAACTAAATAATTTATTTTATATTGCTTACCAGGTTGAAGCGATAGCACAGTGGTAGGGCATTTGCCTTGCACGCGCCCAGCCAGTCGAGCCAGGTTCAATTCCTCCACGATTCCTCCACCCCTCTTGGAGAGCCCAGCAAGCTTCCGAGAGTATCTCACCCACACGGCAAAGCCTGGCAAGCTACCCGTGAAGTATTCGATATGCCAAACACAGTAACAATGAGTCTCTCAACAGAGATGTTCCTGGGCCCGCTCATGCAAATTGATGAACTACAGGAGGACAGTGCTACAGTGCTACGATATTGCTTGCTATATATAATCCACTAAGAATGATCCAAGAAATGATTCTTTTGTTGTTGTTGTTCATCCGGTGATGAACAGGGGTTACTCCTGCCTCTGCACTCAGGAATTACTTCTGATGGTGCTCAGGGAACCATATGGGATGCTGAGAATGAACCTGGGTTGGCCAAGTGCAAGACAAATGCCCTACATGCGGTGTTATTGCTCCAGCCCCCAAGGAACAATTCTTAAGTTGAAAAAAAGGCAACATTTAGAAAAGACAAAGTCATGAAATTTACATACAAGTGGTACTACATGGAAAGTATCATGTTAAGCGAAATGACTCAGAAAGAAAGGGATGGACATAGAAAAATTGCATTCATCTGGGGAATATAAAGTAACAAAATAGGAGACTAACACCCAAGAATGGCCGAGATTAGTACCAGGAATTTTACTCCATAGCTTGGAGGCCAACCACACATGCTAGGGGAAAAGGGAGCTTAGATAGAGAAGGGAGCACCAAATAATGGTATTTGGAGGATCCTCCCAGGATGGGAGAAGCATGCTGAAAGTAGACTATAGACCAAACATGATTGCCACCCATTGCCTCTTTTGCAAACCACAACACCCAATAAGAGAGAGAGAACAAAAGGGAAAGCCCTGCCACAGAGGCAGGGTGGAATGGGGGAGGTGGGGGGTGGGAGGGATACTGGGATCCATGGTGGTGGGAAATGGGCATGGTGGAGGGATGGGTATTTAATCATTGTATAATTGAAACCCAAGCACAAAAATTTGTAAGTCTACAACTGTACCTCATGATGATCACTAATAAAAAAAAATGCAACATACATGTTGATTTTAATGATGCCATGCATATACAAACACACACACAACCTATTATACATATATAAATATATAAGATGTTTCAGTGTTTTATGTATAAAAAGTAAAAAATGTAAATGTACAGGAAAGTAAAAGTATAGTAAAGGCCCTCCCGTTGATCATCGATTTGCTCGAGCGGACCCAGTAACATCTCCATTGGAGACTTTGTTGTTACTGTGTCTGGCATAACATATCAATATAAATTTTATCTTACCAACAGTTAAATTTTCCCCCAAATTACTTCATGTATAACTTTACTTTTCTTTTGTTTTTGTTTGTTTGTTCATTTTTGGGTCATACCCGGCGATGCTCAGGGGTTACTCCTGGCTCATGCACTCAGGAACTATTCCTGGCGGTGCTCAGGGGATCATATGAGATGCCAGATATTGAACCTAGGTTGGTAGCGTGCAAGGAAAACGTCCTACCTGCTGTGCTATCACTCAAGCTCCTATAACTTTACTTTTGATGGGCCTCTTGAAAGAAAATTACAGCTATTATAACACTTTAGCTATGAAATTCTTGAGTATGTACAGATTGATACTGTTTTCCATGAAAATATAATGTTACTCTTGATAAAATTAATAATAACTTATTAAAAATATGTTTCATTCACACTTGATTTTCCACAGATGTTTCAACTGCTTTTATCATCTCTTTCTCTTCTCTCTTTCTCTCTCACACACACACACATACATGCGCATGCGCACACACAGACACACACACACACACACACACACACACATATACAAGATCCGATGAAAGAACATTGGATTGGGATATGTCTCTTAAATCTTCTATCTCACAATTTTTTAAAACAAATTTTTTCACATTGGTAAAGGTATAGTTAAGATACAAACTCTGTATAATTTTAATATTACAGTGCAGTTTGACATAGGTACACAGATACGTAATGCAATAATTACCACAACCAAGTTAGAACTCTCTCACTTCACCTAGTTGTTCTGTGTATGTGTATGTGTTTAAAATACTCTTAATCATTTATTAAAAGTATATGCACAATTTTATTATTAACTATCCAACTATACTATATATTAAATCTCAAAGATTATTGTCCTTATAAACAAATGTTGTGCCTCTTGACCAACATTTCCCCATTTCCTTTATGCTTGAGACTTTGAAACCATTTTTTTACTCTCCACTTTTGAAGTGTTACTCTTTGCAGATCCTACAGATAAGTAATATCATGCAGTATTTGTCATTTTGTAGCTCATTTATTGCACATAGCAAAATATGCTACAGGTGTATCTGTTATCAGAAGTGGAATAATTCTCTTCCTATGAATGAAGAGAATTTTGGGGTATGTGTGTCATACACAATACATATTCCTTATACATTCTTCAAGATATTAATCCTATTTCCTGTGATGATGGGTTCTATTATTACAATATGTTTTGAGACATTTTCACTGTCACTGTCCTCCCATTGTTCATCGATTTGCTCAAGCGGGCCCAGTAACATTGTGAGACTTGTTATTGTGTTTGGCATATCAAATACATCACAGGTAGCTTGCCAGGCTCAGCCCTGCGGGCGAGATACTCTTGATAGCTTGCTGGGCTCTACGAGACAGGTGGAGGAATCAAACTTGGGTCAGCTGGGTTGGCCACGTGCAAGGCAAATGCCCTACTGATTGTATCCATTTCCATTCTTATTAACAATATACAAAATTCCCTTTTCTATGCTTTCCATGTTTCCTCTTATCTTTTAAATGAATGACCATACTGGCAGGTATTTTGTTACTTCTCACCACAGGTTTTGATTTTGAACTTTCCTGATAATTAGCAATTTTGAGCACTTTTTTCCCCCATCCCTGTTAACCATTTGGTATATCGTCTTTATTAAAATATCTATTCATGTCATGTGTCCATTTTTCTTCCTTCACTAGTGACTACATTGTAGGGCTCTCAGGATCACCTTGGTGAATATGTTCAGTGCTAGAATTTAAATCCAGGCCTGATACTTACCCTGAAAACTATTTTAGTTCCTCAGCCATTTTCTGGATGCTTTTTTTGCCAAATATCAGAGATAACAACACTTGTACAGGAACAAAATGGCATTTGAACTCAGTTTCATACTTGCTAGGCAGGCAGTTGTAATCACTAAGTTATCCTGTTAGCCCCATTTTCCATATTTTAGTAAAGTGATTTGATATTTGGCTCTTGAGTTGTATACATTTATATATTTTCCAAAGTAATCATCCATCAGTTACTTGGGTTGCTGATGTTTTATCCCATTCTATACTTTATGTTTTTATTTTGTGTTTTTATTTTATTTTTCCTTTACTGCATCGAAGGTTTTCAGTTTCATATAACATCACCTGTTTATTATTTTTATTTTAAATATAAGGCCAGTATAGAAACTCCTTTGCTATGGATTATCTTATTATGTCCATATTTACTGTCTACATCTATCCTATAAAATTTATTTTTATAACATAGCACTGTAGCACTGTCCTCCCATTGTTCATCGATTTTCTCTGGAGGGCCCAGTAACATCTCCATTTTGAGACTTGTGGCTACTGTGTTTGGCATATTGAATACGTCACGGGTAGCTTGCCATGCTTTTTTTTTTTTTTACCGAGATACTCTCAGTAGCTTGCTGGGCTCTCTGAGAGGGGTGGAGGAATTGAACCCGGCTCAGCTGGGCTGGCTGCACGCAAGGCAAATGCCCTACCGCTGTGCTATAATATAACTAAATTATAAAATTAAATTAGATGTAAGAACTTAAATTTAGATTAAATGTTCCATAAGTATATTGAAAATCATATTATGGTAAGTGCATAGAGTGATTAATTATTCCAACAACTGGAATAACATTTGACTGTCTGGATAAGATAGTAACTTTATAGTAATGATTACATAGTAACTAACAGTATATATACATGTATATATGTATATATATACATATATACATATTTATATACATATATGAGTATTGTATATATACATATGTACATGTATATATACATGTTTTTCTACCCTCTTCAGTGATCAATTCTCAATTCCCTCTTAAAAACCTTATAAATCTATAATACATTCTTTAACATTTAAGAGGTCAAAAGTAAATATATATGTATACATATATACATACACATATATAAATAAAATAAGTGTCAATTTATTGTCGTGGGGGAGAACTAACCTTTTTTTCTGTTGTGTTTTTAGCAAAATGGAAATACGCATTTTCATCATAAGCCAATTGTTGAATCCTTTGAGGAAGCACCTCTTCATGTTATGGTTTTCACTTACATGGGATATGGACTTGGAACCCTCTTTGGCTATTTCAGAGACTTTTTGAGAAACTGGGGAATAGAAAAATGCAATGCTGCTATAGAACGAGAAGAACAAAAAGTATGTATGTTCACACCCACATATATATATATATATCAGTTTCTTTTCTTTCATAAATGTTCTCAGAATTAACAATGCATGTACAAATCCTAAAAAGACTGAGGTGTTTATGATCTACTCTAAATACATTGCTTTCCTCTCCATCTCTTAGAACATCAACGACTGCATGTTTGTTGTTGTGGTTACTTTTACAAATATTTATTAGTAAGCTTTATGAGATACTGAATTTACTGTTCAAACATCATTGGATTTAATATTTATAACACCCCTGTTAGATATCTATTTACATATTATTTTAGAGATGATAAAACAAAATATAAAAGCAAGAACCCATGACTGGAACTGTATTTTAGTATTCTAATTGTATCTCTCCAGCCTGAAATTTTGGAGCTTTTACTTGTAGTAAAAGCTGGAGCGATAGCACAGTGGGTAGGGCGTTTGCCTTGCACGCAGCCAACATGGCCGACCCGAGTTCGATTCCTCCGCCCCTCTCGGAGAGCCCGGCAAGCTACTGAGAGTATTTGATATGCCAGACACAGTAACAACAAAGTCTCCAATGGAGACGTTACTGGGCCCGCTTGAGCAAATCAATGATCAACGGGAGGGCCTTTACTTACTTAATTGTAAAATAAGTATTGTGTTCTATCCTGAAATCAAAAAATGTGTCTAAATGAAATATGAGCTTTCTATTTCTTTTAGGTAAGGATTTGTGATACTCCTGACACTTTGGATTGGATCATTATTTTGTGTGTGTGGCTTTCATTTGTACCTTAGGGTTTTTAACAGCATCATTGGTCTGTATCCCTTCTACCATATTTTGCAATGGTTAAAAATACTTACAGACATTTCCAAATATCTAGTAAAATATAAAATTATCCCTAATTTAGAACAACTGATCTAGATATTCTCACTCTCAACTATTAAGTTTAAAGTTTTATCTTTTTTAAAATAGAAAACTTAGAAAGAATTCAGAGATATTTCAGTATCTTTCATTTGTTTGTATGTTTTCCAAATTGATTAAGCTGGTTTATGATGCTTTTAGACTGGAGCGATAGCACAACAGGTAGGGCATTTGCCTTTCATGCAGCCGACCTGGGTTTGATTCCTCCGCCCCTCTCGGAGAGCCTGGAAAGCTACTGAGAGGATATCACCTGCATGGCAAAGCCTGGCAAGCTACCCATGCTGTATTCGATATGCCAAAAACAGTAACAACAAGTCTCACAATTTGTTGTGAGGCATTACTGGTGCCTGCTTGAGCAAATTGATGAACAATGGGAGGACATGCTATGATGCTGTTAACCTTTTTTTCTCAGTATTGTTTGATAATAATCTGACTTATTTGCATGGGTCCTTTTATGTGGTGAGACCTTGTATATATCTAAGAAAAGATCATAGGTGAGGCAAAAATTTCAATGAACTAAAGTAGTCTCGACTACTTTCAACTTAATAACCAGTGGTGATGGTATTATAAATATTATTAGGTAATATATTAATGAAAAATGTATGAAGCAATTATTTTGGCCTCATGTCAAGTATATTACCTTCAGAAGAAACAAGTCTCAGTTTATTATTACTATTCTTCCTACATTCAGCAAGTATTTGTACTGTCACACATAATGTGTACCAGTACACATGAGTGAAAACACAGTTCCTACATCAGTGAATTTGAGTGAGAATGGAAGAATTTGTGGAGAAAAATTAAGACTTAAATTTCACAAGAAAAACAATAAAAAGTAAAATTTGGAAGGAGGAAGATGTGGAAAATTGGGATCTGTAGAAAGTTGTTCCCTTAGAAAGTCAGGAAGGCCTGAGTCTAGAGCTTGAAAAGTAAGCCGGAGTTTTCTAGTAAGCAAAGTAGAAAAAATTAAACTGCCCTATAATAAAAAGACACTCTAAGAAGAGAGCACTACACATGCCAAGCCATTCATTCACTTGGAAATCAAGTCACATTCTTTTTGAACATATAATTTTTAAGACTGTATTATTTGTTGAGATATAAGAATAACAAAAACAGGTATAGCTCTTTAGAAAACTGACCGTTAAAAAAGCAATTGTAATAGAATTTTATTAACAATGAGCCATTAAATTAAGCAGGAATAATGAGGAAATAAAGAAGAGAAACATCTAACTTGAAGTTAGTGTTCAGTAAAGGTTTCTGGGAGGAAGACTTTAATTGAGATTTGCAGGCTAAAGAAAAAGGAAAGCAATACGGGACAAGAGTCTTATACGGGGAGAAGAAACCTGTTGCAAAATGGCCAAGAAATAAGAGGAAGCATTGTACATTCAAGGAACCAAGGAATTTTAATCACTGTGACCAAATTATTGTGAGAGTGGGAGTAGGTGGGCAGAAAGATTTTTAGAGCTGCAGGCAGGAACTAGATTATAATGGGTTCTTATAAGCCATGGGTTTTCATTGTAAGAACAATGGGAAGGTATTGAAGGACTTCAGGCTGAGAAATGCAGATTTGCAAATTAGAAAGTTTATGTTCACTGCCCCATGATAAAGGAATTGAAGGGTATAATGTAGATTATTTTTTAAAAAATTAGTTAAGAGGCAGTTATCCAGGTTAACAAAAATCTAAGTGAGAGCTTAAGTAGTGAGGTGATGAGTAATAGTAAAAGATTAGTAAAGTAAGTAAGTAAAGGCCCTCCCGTTGATCATCGATTTTGCTCGAGCGGGCCCAGTAACGTCTCCATTGGAGACTTTGTTGTTACTGTGTCTGGCATATCGAATACATCACGGGGAGCTTGCCAGGCTCTGCCATGCGGGCGAGATGCTCTCGGTAGCTTGCCCGGCTCTCCGAGAGGGGCAGAGGAATCGAACTCGGGCCGGCCATGTTGGCTGCGCGCAAGGCAAACGCCCTACCGCTGTGCTAAGAATTGGAAAGATGGATAGATCTGGGGAATTGAGGAGATTTATATGTCAAAGAACACAATGGATTTATGAAAAAGGCATATTAAGAGAAAGAAGATGGCTTCTTTCACTGATATAGAGACCAGAAGAACAACTTGGAGGGCAATGTGGAGATTCATTTTTTGACAGAGTCTTAAGAACTGGCAACTAGACCCAGGAATCTAAAATTCCAGAAAAATAAATATATAAAAATATAAAATATAAAAATAAATAAATAAATAAATATACATCTTGGATGTATATTTGCCACCTTTAATGTATGAAGTATAGCAACATTCACTGAAGTCACAAAAGTAAGAGAGAGAGTCTCTTTTTTTCACTTAGTCCAATGGTAATAAGAGAGAAAGGAAGAGAAGAGCTCTAGGAATTTTATAGAATTTAAAAGGTGTTAGAGATAGCATTCTAATTCGAGAAAAAAGTCAAGATGATTAAAAAATTCTTATACTAACTTAAGAATCAATATATGTGCTTGAACTGAAAAGAGATAGTAGCAATATACAAATGGAAACTAGGTGCAGAGATATTTAAGAGACAGAATCAAGTCTTTGCTATGTGATATACAGAAAGCAATACAGAAAGGAAAAGTCAACATGCTTTCTTTGGTGAAATACAATGTTGATAGACACAGCGTATTCTGGAATATTTTCTTAAAAAGAGGATGTATCAAATTTCTCAGGTTTGGCATCCCTTTGTCAGGTTTCAAAATTGCAGTCTATACCTTCCTTCCTTCCTTCCTTCCTTCCTTCCTTCCTTCCTTCCTTCCTTCCTTCCTTCCTTCCTCCCTTCCTCCCTTCCTTCCTTCCTCCTTCCTTCCTCCTTCCTTCCTCCTTCCTTCCTCCTTCCTCCTTCCTTCCTCCTTCCTTCCTCCTTCCTTCCTTCTTCCTTCCTTCCTTCCTTCCTTCCTTCCTTTCCTTCCTTCCTTCCTCCCTCTCTTTCTCCCTCCTTCCCTCCTTCCCTTCCTTCCTTCCTTCCTTCCTTCCTTCCTTCCTTCCTTCCTTCCTTCCTTTCCTTCCTTCCTTCCTCCCTCTCTTTCTCCCTCCTTCCCTCCTTCCCTTCCTTCCTTCCTTCCTTCCTTCCTTCTTTCCTTCCTTCCTTCCTTCCTTCCTCCCTCCCTCCCTCCCTCCCTCCCTCCCTTCCTTTCTTCCTTCCTTTTCTTTCTCTTTTCCTTTCTTCTTCCTCCCTCCTCCCGCCCTCCTTTCCTTCCTTCCTCTGTTTCTTTCATTTGGGTGGTACATCATACAGTGTTCAAGGACTACTCCTAGGTCTGTGCTCATGGATCACTCATGGTAAGGGTTGGGGGAACATATATCATGCCAAAGATCAAACCCTGTTATGATAGGGAAAATGTCTTACCTGCTATACTATCTCTTCCACCCCAACAATTTATTTTCCAGCCAGTTTCAATATGTTTGCTCTATTCAAGCAAGCAAGACTCATCATTTTGTTTTGGCTAAAGCATATATTACATTCAAAGCAGAATAGATTTACTTGGGCACAGCAGGTTGGCTCTCAAGGAAGCCAACTATGATCTGGTGAGTTGAGGATGTGAAGTTACTGCTCTGTATTTCTGAACTCATCACCTGTACCATCCATGAAGGAGAATAAAAGGAGAAAAGGGAACAGGAGAGTTATGATACAGTACCAACAGAGGTTTCTATAACTCCTAGACATCAGGGCTCTTCAGAATCAATTTCACTGAGGAAACGGGATTGAGCTTTCCTAGATGATAAGCGGGAGCTGCTGTTAGAGAAAGGTCTGATTTCCACCAGGGCAGCTCCCTTCAACAAGCTGTCAGAGTTCAACATTCCAAGTCTCACGGCACTTGATTGCTCAAGAGCTTGGATAATTCTTCAAGAGGAAGACTCTGCATTGAATAAATCAGTGTCTTATTTCTTAACAAAATAAATTATTCTACTCCGGTTTGATCTCCTTGTATTAAAGAGCTCCAGTTGACTCATCTTGGTTGGCATACCTTTCATGTACCATGTTTGTTTTTGTTTCCACTACATCCCATTTCACTTCTCTTCCACTGTGTGTTATTTATTGAGCTTTTTTTGCTTTTGAGGGAACTTAGCAATTTATAGCC